GAAGAAGCTTGGAGTGTCCTAAAGAGGACAGGATCTTGAGAGAAGACTCAAGGTGTCTGTTTGCCGTCATGGTGCAGAAGGTACAGCAAGGGACAGGAGCTCAGTAGCCTGAAGCTTCCAGAGGATAGGAGGTGACGAAGGTAAAAGAAAAGCCACATACACTCCAAATTTACTGTCAATTATATTGGCTGCAATGCTATGAAGACAGAGATGTTCCCAACCATGACGGCATGACTCTCCAAATAGAAATCAAACAGGGGAGGGCTGTCAAGATGTCTCCGTGTGTGAATATATAACAATCCAAAACCAATTCTATGCTTGCAAAAAGTAGATGAAGGGAACAGACTCCTACAGGCTCTACTCCTGCCCTCCACAACGGGTGCTGTGGCATGTCCCCACACAAGCACACTCTGACACATGTGCGCCAACACAGACTTGTAGAATTTAATTTCATATGGGCACAAGGAGATACCAGTCTTCATTAATGCACACATAAATTTACATAACAAAATCAAAAATCATTTATTGGTCACTTGAATATAATTATTGTCATAAGCTCCAAACCTAGGAGCTCTGAAGAGAAATCCATGGGGACACATTTCTCTTTCCTTCCTTAATTTTTTTTGCCTTTATCCACTTTTCAAGGAACTGATCATTCAAAAAATGTCAGATTAACCCTGCCCTGAATGGAGTGGTGGCTCAGGCCTTTAATCCCAGAACAAGGGATACAGAGGAAGGTGATCTCTGTGAGTTCAAGGTCAGTCAGGTCTACAGAGCAAGTTCCAGGATGCCCAGAGATACACAGGGTAACCCTGTTGCAAAAACAAAACAAAACAAAAACCAAAAATGAAACTGAAACCAAAAGTAAAAGCCAAACCAGCAATAATACCCATTGCTCTAGTGGACTGATGTCTGAATATCTGAAGGTGAAGTCATGGTTTGACTAGAATCTCAAAGGAATCAGAGAAAAGAGAAAAAACATCAGAAAGCGAGGAGTTCAGAGAGGCATTGAAACTCACAACAGATACTTTGTGTGAGAAGGGATACAGGGACAGTGAGCGAGTAGCAAGGCAGACACCAGAGCATGGAATCCCAAAGAGAGTTAATGACACAATCAGACACTCTGAGTCAATAGAAGTCGTGTTGCTCATGTCTGCAAAGGAGGGTGGGCACACCACCATGCACGCACCAAAGCTGAGTGATGGTCACACCCATTTAATACTGATGTTTTTTCTCAATTCACTTCTAGCCTCCCTTTTATCCTTCTGGCACATGTCCACCACTGCCCATGTGACCACTGAATTAGTGCCACCCCATGTGGCGGAAGGAGAAAACGTCCTTTTGGCTGTCCATGGTCCCCCAAAGAATCTTAGAGCCTATGCCTGGTTCAAAGGGCTACCAAACACAACTCGAGGAATTGCGGTGTATACACTGCATAACAATTTAAGTGCTCCTGGGCCTCTACACAGTGGTAGAGAGACAGTGTATCACAATGGATCCATACTGCTTGAAAATGTCACCCAGAAGGACAAAGGAATCTATACCCTCTAAACCTATAATACACATGGGGAAATCTTATCAACAACATCCAGGTACCTCCGAGTACACGGTAAGTAATTCCTTGTGAGCTCTGTGAGCCTTTTGAGGTTTATTTCACTGGACACACAGGAGTGTGGTCTGTGTCTATCTTCCCTGTGTACTGAGCAGCCATGTTGGGGTTTGAGCATTTGGTGTAAGACACATATGGTTTACAATGATGGCAATACATCAGAATCCTTGATTTGACTTCACCTTGAACACAGGTGGATGCATGGTGCATAACTCAGCCAAGGATATCAGCCTCTGTATAGACTATAGTGTTTTTTTTTTTTTAACCAGTAATGTTTCCTTGAGAAAGACCGTGAGGGAATCAACATTGTTCCTGTTAGAGGAAAACCTGGAATCCTCAGAGAGATGTAAGCATCAAGAGGCCATGGCTCCAGATCTCTGTCCCAGATTCAACTCCAGGTGTCCATGAGAAACCTTTTACAAGTGTTGGATTTTGCCTTCTGGATGGCAGGGAACAGTTTTCCTAGCAGTTAAAGTCTTGTGATGTGTGGAACCAGACAGTGCACTGTCATTCGAGCTTTGGTTGGATTAAGTCATTTGGCCATATTCTTCAGAGAATCGGCAGGGAAGCATAGCGCAGCATGTGTCCAGGCTGTTAACGAACTGTCCTGCTAAGCGTATGAGATTTCACATGAAAGTTATGGTCCCCTAGTAGAGGGACCAAGGAAATAGTTTCTCCAGATGAGTGAGTGTCCTTTGGGTGCATCTTGGAGAACACTCTCCTGCAGACAAATGGTTACAGGCTATGCTGATTTGACAGCTTGCCAGACATGAGCTGTAGGTCCTCCATGACCACCATGACCACCATGAATGTCATCAGAACACACAAGGAACTAGTGTAAAAGTATATTTGCTGGAACCAGGAACTTAGTAGGCTTGGTCCACCCCTGTTTTGAAAGACCTGGAAATCATGGTCACAGAATTCTCAGACCTACAGGCTCCTTAATGTGTCAATTACACTGCCAGGAGATTATGTGTTTCCTATAGGAAACACATGATATCCCGGGGGAAAACAACTAAATAGAGGTCCAAGGCATCTCAGAAAGATCACAGAGCACATGGGCAAACCCATTACACAGCTCAGCAAACAGAGGAACCGAGAGCATGGGTATGAAAGACTTGCACTGGATGAAGGAGCTCACAGCCTTTTCCTAGGAATCAGGTCGCCTCATCCCACACATCCAATGTGTGAGACTCCTGACATATTTGGGGATTTTGACCTCTGTCAGAATGCAGTCTGATGGTGGCTTCAGTGACAACACAGTTGTTCTTTTCCACACCCATCACGCACCTGGCCCCTTTTGAACCTCAAAGGCAGTGTTGGACCTTCCTGTTGGGGGCAAATTGCATGTTTCCAAAGCACTGAAACAATATGTCAGACTGAGTAACCAGCTGGTTTTCTTTGTCACACAGTTGTGCGGATTTTCCCCTTTTGGTGCCAGGGTATAGCAGAGTGCAGTTCCAGGGTCAATTCCTATTACCTCATTTCACAGTGATGGCCATCAACCTTGATACTCCGTTTTCTAGAGGTCAGAAACATAAAGATGGAATAGAAAAGGAACATGGGGAGCTGAAAGAGGAGGGACAGAGCAGCATTTTGAACACAGATCCACCCTAATCCCATTGGACTCCAGGAGGTGCTCCTCCGTGGAAAGAAGCTCAGCTCAGATGGGGTTAGGTCAGCAGATCTTGCTGGCCCTGCTTGAGCAGAAATACCCGCAGAAGAATGTCCAATCAGCCTACTGAGTCTGTACTCCTCTGCAAAGGGTACGCCACACCTCAGGGGCTTCTGCTCACAGATGAGGAGACCAGGAGTTCACAGTGTGTGAGGGAAGAGAATTGACACACTGTCTGGAGTCTCCTGAGTGGCCTAAGGACATGAGAGGAGTCTCAGTGTTTCTAGGGGAGAAGATACAGAGTAGGAGAAGGTCAGCATTAGGATGCTCTCATCGAGTATTAAACAGTAAGGGTGGGGGAGACAATATTCTTACAGTAATTTAGTAAGCATGGCCACAATATTCTGAAGACTAATGTTCTCAGTTTGATGGACCAAATAAAAAAATCAAGCTGCTGTGTGGATCACTGACATGGTTCAATGGATATAGGTATTTGCTTCATTGTGTGACCAGTTGAGACAAACAAACAAAAGTCCTCTGACCTCCACTTAAGTACTGTGTCCTGGACCAGCCACACATGCTAGACTAGCCCTTACACTACAACATCACAAGTATCATATACAAACAGCTGTAAAAAAATCATAGCAAATGGAATGATCCATTACTGTATCCCTAAACTTAAGAGTTTCTTTAATAAATCCATGGGCATGCAGGGTTCTGGGATCTTATTCATCCATTTGGTCTCCACATGTACCTGAGTTTTTTCTAGGCATTACTTATAAAAAGTACAAGACAACACATGGGTCTTATGATTCCTAGTTTCAGTGGACTTGAAGTAAAGAAAGCTAGGAAGTGAACTTGGATATTAACTGAAACCCCAAAGGAACAGAACAACAGCAAGTCAGAGTGAAGACAGGGTCTGTAGGAGAAGAGTTTGGGCAGGTATCAGCCCAAGACCAATCCTGGGTAAATGTGAGCAGAGATCTGTTGGCGGTAAGCTAGGGAAACTTTTCTGACTGAATAGGGAGAAGTATATACTGGAAATAAAATGTGTGGGGACACACACATATGAAATCCACCAAGTGGGACAGATAGACACTCACCCACAAACCCAGGCTGAGCATTTGACACAGCTTCTCAGGACACAGGGCCTCACTTTAGTCAAATACAACGGTCCCGATTTTGATGGATCTTTCTCTTCACTTCTAGCTTTTCTTTGGAATTGTGAGTTCCTTGCTACCTCTCCCAAACTCACTATTGAATCAGTGCCACCCATTGTTGCTGAAGGGAGAAGCGTTCTTCTACTGGTTCACAACCCCCCTGAGAATATTGCAGGCTTTGTATGGTTCAAAGGAACGACTACGATCGATAACTTTGTGGTTTCCCAATATACGCTGTACAAGAAATTGACTGTGTGGGGGCCTGCATATGGGGGCAGAGAGACGTTGTACAGTGATGGATCCCTGCTGCTTCATAGTGTCACTGTGAAAGACAGTGGATTGTACATTCTACGTATTCTGTGGACAGACATGAGAAGTCAAGATGCCCAGGTGCAACTCCAGGTGGACAGTAAGTGATTCTCTGTGTTTGTTCAGTGCTGGGTAGGGCTTAGACAAACTGAACTGTCATGGCTGGCCTAGGCTACGTTCCCTCTGTAATGGGGTTCCATGCAAAGGTTTGAAAAGTTAGTGCACGATAGACTGGTAGGGCTGGCCTGGCTTACTTTCCCTCGGAAAGGAGGCCCTAGATGGAGCTTTGAGAAGTCAATAGGACACACTGGTAGAGACAAATGCTTCCATCTTCTGACTCCACCAACATCAAGTTCTAACCTGTAGGAAAGTAATTCAGCCTAAGTAAGATGTAAAAGCCAGCCCATTATCACAGGAAGCCAGACCAGGGAGCTGTGAACCCAGTCATCTTTCCAAGGCTGGACTAAAGTGATCCAGGGGAGCATTTTTCTAGTGCTCTACTCTCTCTCTCTCTCTCTCTCTCTCTCTCTCTCTCTCTCTCTC